GGGGGGTTGGACCAGATGACCTTTATTCCCTTCCAACCCAAAGCACTCAATGGTTCTGTGATCTCCCAGGATGGGGAGAAGCCAGGGAGGGTTTGCTGAGGTGGGCTGGCTGAGGTGGTGCCAGGGTGCAGGTACCTGGGGTGGGCAGGAGGCTCGGGGCTGTCACCTCCAGTCCAGTGAGCTTGGGACCACCTGCCTGAGGAGACAGCTGCTTGCTCATCCAGGCTGGTCTCTGTGGGCTGACTTGTCTAAGAGTTTATTATTCCTACTGATTATTAAGCTGATAATGAGTTACAGGAGTCTGCAACAGCATTGGGCAAAAGTCAGAATTTCAAATCAGGGTATGTTCAAAGTGATAATTAAGTTAATAAAAATAATTCTCTTCTTCAGAGTTGGCAGCAGCTTTCATTTGCTTCCAGAAGGCCAGAGATACAGGAGGAGGAAAGGAAGGGGTGCTGCAGTGGGGGTGGAGGGTGAGCTTTTTCTGGGCAGGCTGTTGCCTTGCTGGAGTACTTTCAAATTTAGTAAGGATACACGTTTCTAATTTTTTATTTATTTACTTAAACGTTTGGCTTGCAGTGGTCAGGATTTCATTGTTCTGAAAAAAACCCCAAGCCTGTCACCTTGAAGAAAAAATATGGCCTCTCTTTCTGTGATTAGCCTAAATCTCTGCCTTTTGGAAATGTCAGCAAAAAGGAGATCTGCTGAGGGTTATCTTCAGTCTCAGGTTCCCCTGTGACATCTCTGTGCAGTTCCACCTTGTGTGCCAGAACATGAAATAAGAACTGAAATGCAGGAAACGTTGATGATATATGGCTGCATTAATATATATTTCTGATTACATAGTGCTAAGGCAAAGTTTGTAGTAATCCTAATTTAGTGTAAAGAATATTTGCATGCAGCCTAAGGACTTGAGGCAAAGAAAGGTTAAAAAAAAAGGTCCAAGCTGGTGCCAGGTTTAAAAAAGTTTGGAAAAATTAACAAATGCATTCAGTGGAAATGCTTCCTCAAAGTCTGCATGGAAATAATTCCAAACGTTTTGTAAGTTTTGAACTTTAATGCTACTGTGCTTGTATTTGCATGGGATGTTTCTCTGCCAAGGGGAAGTGGCAGACAGAGGCCATGGCCTGCTCAGAGCCAAGCTTCTGCTGGTGTTCTTTGGCCACTAAAGTGTCCCTGGCTCTTACCCTGTTCTGCCAGGCAGCCTTCTGTTGTCTTGGCTATCCAGTGAAAACATTGTAGAATCATAGGATGGGTTGGGTTGGAAGGGGCCTTAAAGATCATCTTGTTCCACTGCCTCTGCCACAGGCAGGACACCTCCCACTAGAGCAGGGTGCTCAAAGCCACCTCCCACTTGACCTTGAGCACCTCCAGTGATGGAGCATCCACAGCCTCCCTGGGCAACCTGGGCCAGGGTCTCACCACCCTCAGAGTGAAGAACTTCTTCCTGATTTCTAACCTACATCTCCCCTCTTCCAGTTTTAATCTATTACCTCTCATCCTATCACTACAAGCTTTTGTAAGAACCCCCTCCCCAGCTTTCTTGTAGGCCCCCTTCAGACACTGGAAGGCTGCAGTAAGGTCTCCATGGAGATTTCCTTTCTCCAGGCAGTGAGAGAGCAACTCCCAGCCTGGCCTCACAGCAGAGGGGTTCCAGCCCTTGGGTCATTGATGTGGCCTCCTCTGGCCCCACCCAACAGGTCCATGTCCACACAAACCCTGGCTGTGCTGCTCCTCAGCACTTGGTGGAATTTTGAGGCCTGGGTTCACTACAAGCCAGCAGCAAGTTCAGCTCCTGTCTCCTACACAACATGGTTCTAAGAACACATATTTCTTTTTACCCTTGAAAGAACCACCTTGTAGGAATTACTGTGACACTCAGCTACCTGTGTCCCTCCTTTTCATCTCTTCCAGTGTTGCCACATCCAGTGCTTTCCTTCCCCTTCCTTGGTGAGGGTACTTTTAGGTTGTACATGTCTTCTTTCTCACAAAAATTAGGGGTTTAATTTCTGCCTCCCCCTCAAGGAGCAGAGCAGGTGATGCAGTATCCAGAGTGTCCCCAGTGTGTCGGAGCCTTTCCTGCTTTGTTAACAGGCTGGGTCCTGCTTTGGCAGAACAAATGTGGGGGAGAAGTATTGAATTTTCATGCAGAGACTGAAAATAAGCCTGGAGGAGCATTTTTTGGGGAATTCCTAGGTTACAGAGCTGGGAGAGACTGTATCAACTCATTTGACTCTTGTGTTTTACTGGATTATCCCTTAGGTTGCCCTGTGTGCTGTGTGCAGGCTGCTCTTGAACTTGAGCAGCAATACCCTTTGAATATTTTTTTTAAAGTTTATTTTAATAGGCAGAGCAGCAATACCCTTTGAATATTTTTTTAGTTTATTTTAATAGGCAACTACTTCACAGGACAGTTTGCATTTTCCTCTGGTGCCTCAACTCCATGGGGTTTATAAAACAAAGCATTTCAGGTTCTTGGTAAGGGCTCAGGCTGCATTTGCTGCTTTGAAGAAGGTGAGGCTGCCTTGCTGTGGTAGGAGCTGCTGCAGCTACTCTGTTAATTGCTGCTGTGCCCTGGGGCTAATTAAAGCCCAGCCGTGGGTGGTACCTGCCCCGTGCCCCAGCCTGGCTCCTGGGCTGGGGAAGGGGAGGGGACTGATGTGCTGCACATCTGGCTGGAGGCCAGCCTTTTGGATGTCTCCTGCTGGCAGCCACAGCATCTGTGCTGGGAGGTGCTCTGCCTTTAAGAGGGATTAAATTTTCATCCAGATCACTTAATTTCTCCTTCTCTAAGGAAGTGGCTCAGCCTTGTGCCACGTGGGTAGTCCTTACCCAGGAAGCTTATAGAATCATAGAATCATAGAATTCTTTAGGTTGGAAGGGACCTCCAAGATCATCAAGTCCAACCATTGAGCCATTAGGGCTCTAAAGTCCTCTGCTAAAACAGATCAGAATCTGTCAGGGTTGGAAGGGACCACAAGGATCCCCCAGTTCCAACCCCTCTGCCATGAGCAGGGACTTGGGGCTGCCCAGCTCCATCTTTCCTTCCCTCTCTCCTGTTTGGAAGATGTGACTGGGGAGGGGATGGAGGCTGCTGTTGGAGTGTGGAATCATAGATTGGTTTGGGTTGGAAGGGACCTTTCAAATTCATCCAGTCCCACCCCCTGAATGGACAGGGACATCTGCAGCTAGAGCAGGTTGCTCAGAGACTCAGCCAACCTCACCTGGGATGGTTCCAGGGATGGGGCAAAGGTAAGAAGCAAGATGAGCTTCATCTGGTGGTGAAACAGAGTGCAAGGCTGTGGTGCTCTGTTGTTTGGGCCAGCTGGAGCACTGCTGAACTTCCTCCAGTGCTTCCCAGTATCATTCCTTCCCTTTCCCACTCTGGGCCTGCCAGCAGAACTGCCTGTGTCCTTGCCTGCTGACCCAGGCTGCTCAGACCCTACAGGGTGACACTGCTTTAACAGCAGGCGTGTCTGGGATCTGGCTGACATGAGTGCTGTAGGGAGCTGTGACACAGCAGCTGTGCTGGCAGGGTGGGGAGGATGAGGAGGTGACAGCCAGCAGGGATGTGGTGGCTGCAGGGCAGCGAACCACTGACTCCCAGTTCCTCATCCTGTGCTCACCAGTGTGCTGCTCAGGCAAATGGAACCAGCCACGTTCTCAGAGGGCTCACAGGACTTGGGTGTCTCACAGTCCAGACACAGAGCTGTGGTGTGGATGCAAACATCTAATGAATTGCACTCAAATCATCTGAAAAAGCTCTGACATTCACAGAGGACACAGATGTAGCCTGGTCTTTGATCTTGGGCAGCAAAAGGAATGCAGTCCCAAGATGCAGAACGGTTCTGTGTCAAACCAAGCCTTCATTTAGAAGTGTGAGCTGACCTGGGTTTGTTTTCTTCATAAGACATGAAAGTAAAATAAGAACATTTCCCCCCACACATTAAATGCTAGAGAAGGACTTGGATGGCAACATGTCTCTGCAAAGAAAAAGCCCAAAATATCATGGGTACCTTCAAGAGCATTAGTGGGGGTGTGCAGAAGATGCTGAGGAACGAGCTGCAGGGTTGCTGTAGGGAAGAGGGTTGTGCCTCTTTGGGCATGGGCTTTGGCCCCAGGGTGCTGGCTTTGAACTGTCTTGTCTTTCTGCCTCTGAACTCAATTTCTTTGTTGATGAGTTTATGAGGAATGGAAAGAAGAAGAAGGAAAAGAGGTGGCAGCTGATGTGCACATTCCTTTCTGGTGTGTTCTGCTTCCGTCACCTCCGGGCTGGTCCCGTGTCCGTGAGCAGAGCCTGGCCTTGTGTGCCTGCTCCATGCCTCCTGCTTACACAGAGCCCCTGGGAAGCAGTGCACAGAATAAACCTTCTCCTTTTCAGCCCTGCAGCGTGGAAGGCTGAAGGGAAATGGCCAGATCCACAGCTAATGCATCATTGTGGAATGTATCTGTGAAGGCAGCCCCTTCCTTAGTCAAACCACAGGCAGATGAGGAGTCTTTTGTTGACTGTCTCCTGCTATTCTCTCAACTAAAACAGATGCAGCCAAGCAATGTGAGCTGAGGAGTCTGAGAAAGTGCCAAGGAAATGGAAAAATACTTGGAAGGTCTGTGCTGTGCCTTGTCAACATCCAGGAGTGTGAGGATACGATTTAAAACCAGGTTAAAACTGAGATAGCATATTGATCATTTCCAGTGGGAGTGCCTTGGTGTGAGGCAGAGCAGCTGCTTGCATGCCCCACGGTGCCACAGAACAGTCTTCTTCCAGAAGAGTCTGCCATGTGCAATGAAAACCACAGAGGTAATTTCACAGAACTCAGGAAACCTTGTTAACCTCTCGTGTGTGGGTCTGTTCAGCTGCAGAATGAAGAGGAGCCAGGTGAGACTGCCCCAGTGGTGAGCGACGCCCCTCCGCCTTACAGCAGCATTTCTGCAGAGAATACAGGTAAACAGGACTGCAGGGAAGTACCTGGGTTTGCTCTCCTGCCTCTTGCTCTTTCCTGCCTCCCTCATTGTTCTCGTTATTGATGGATGGCATTGCAGCATCTCTACCAAGCCTGCAAAGGATCAGGATTGATCCGGAGAGCTGATTGGTACTTGTGGTTTAGAAGATGCATTTTGGCTGCCTTCATCTGATGTCATCCCATCAAGTAGTGTTCAAGTTACATTTCACAGTGTTCTCAGGAGGTTGAAGACAGTTAAAATCAAAGTACTGTGGGGATTTGTGGTTCCCATCTCATTATTTGGCATTTGGGTGATGCTGTGCTCCTTTTGAAAAGGACTTGTTCCTTAAAAGGGACTAAAGTATTAACTCTTTCTGCAGTTTCAATATCTAAGGACTTGGTGATAAGGATCATACTTCTGAATCACCACAAGGTTGTGTCACTAACAGCTTTTAGCAAAACTGGTTTGTGTTGGTTAGGTACCAGGTTATTCTGGCCTAGGTAAATCTTTTCTTTTTTTCCCCTATGGAACATTCATAGTTAACTGTCCAGGTAAGATCTGTGAATGAAAGGTGACACCCTGTCAGTCTCTCAAACAGCCTCCCAGCTTCAGATGGAAGTGTGTTGTTCCTCAAGCTGCCCTGCCCTGGGCACACCAACCATAAAGATGTCCAGTTGGTTTTGGTTACTTAGCACATCTCAGTGGCTGGGGCTCACAAACGTTTCATTTTAGTTCCAGTCCCTTTCTCCTCCATCAGAAAACAATTAGGAGCCTCTCTCTCTGGAAAAACTGGTCACCAGTGGCCTAAGGCTTGCAGTGATGCTGGTTTGAATCCAACCACTTGGACTTGGAAATGTGTCTACTTCTGTTTATTGGGGTTGGGAGAGACACAGCATGTGTCACTGTTTGAAAAACAAATGCAGCCAGGCATGTTAGTTCTGTGGGTATTATCTTCTGTTAGATAAGGTGCTGCCTTTTGTGAAAAGTGTGATTTTTTCACATTGTTTTGGGGTGGCAGGAGGCTGGAAGGGTGGGGAGGGGGCAGGAGAGACAGGCTTCAACAGTCTGGGGTGGTGGGGTCTTCTGAGGTGGTCCTGAAACACTTCTCATTCCCAGCAGGGTGTGCTTGAGGAACTGACAAGTTACCTTTCATACAATTGTTTTTTTTCCCAGCTTATTTTGACTACAAGGATGAGTCAGGATTTCCCAAGCCTCCATCTTACAACGTGGCCACAACGCTGCCTAGTTACGACGAGGCAGAGAGAACCAAGGCTGAGGCCACAATTCCCTTGGTTCCTGGGAGGGTGAGTGTGCTCAGCTGCCTCTGTCTTTTGCATTTCTTGTGCAGAATTTCTGGTTTAACTCCTGCTGATCAAGGGTCATGATTTATTTATTTTTTTTCCAAGCTGTGGTGGTATTACACACTCCCAAGAGTTCAAGTTCTGTGGCTAATTTTGGATTTTTTAGTAATTTTCCTCTGGGCAGCTATGATGATGTAAGACATCTCAGTAATGCCAGCTTGTGCTAGCCAGATGAGTTTGGCAGGCTGACAGAGGCACTGTAGTGTATCCGTGTGCACTGTCACTGCTGGTTTCTTTTTTCTTTTAAAAAAAAGATTTAGGATTAATTATTCAGCCATCCAGCATCTCTGCCCTGGATAGTCTGCTGCTTGCTTAGCTGACTTCCAGAGGTCACTCTGGCAGGCACAGGAAGATAAAACCATTCTGTCAGATCAATTATTTTTTCATTTTTATATTTCTTTTGTTGTTTTTTTTTAAACATTAGTTCTTGTTCAGCCTTTTCCTCCACCCCTGCTAGCATTAGATGTCCACTGCTCATTATACTTCTTCAGAGAAACCAAATTCTTTGCTGAGATAAGTTGAATTTTTTTGATGATAGGGGAATTCTTTACAGTGGCAACAAGAACATGCTAGATCTTGACTGTCTTTAAAGTATTTTGTATCATGTATTTCATATTTCAGGCACTGCATCATCTCAGGAGGAGAAGCAGAACTTTTTCCTATCTGCATTTGTAGCCTTTTGAGATTTAGGATTCCAACCCCCTTCCCCACGGGGGACTTTCGTTAAATGGGAGTGGTTTGTACCTCTCCATTGTACACTGCCTTTTTTTTCTGAGGGGTACAGGATTTTCTGGCCCTTTTGGAGAGCCACACACAGAACTGGGATTGCTGGATGGACTGGGCAGCCTGCAGCCCACCTCTCTCTTCCCTTGATTTGCAGGATGAGGACTTTGTGACACGGGATGACTTTGATGACACTGACCAGCTGAGGATAGGAAATGATGGTATCTTCATGCTGACTTTCTTCAGTAAGTACATGGTGGAACTTACTTTTTTATCAGCCAGTGACTCAAAATAACTAGTTATTTTCAGACTTAGGTTTATGTAGCACCTGGAAAAATCTGTGAGCAAGGATTTTATGGGTTTTTTTCCTTGGAACACAAAGAAGGCTTGACCTGCTGCTTTTCTCCTGCTTTCTCAGTGGCATTCCTCTTCAACTGGATTGGATTTTTCCTGTCTTTCTGCCTGACTACTTCAGCTGCAGGACGATATGGGGCCATCTCTGGCTTTGGGCTGTCTCTTATTAAGTGGATTCTTATTGTCAGGGTAAGTTGTGTAGTGCAAAACCAGGTACGTAGACACTGCTGCTCTTTGTCCCTAGCTGGCTTTTGTCTCAGTTGTACTGAAGTTATTTATAGATGGAGCTTTTTACAACCAAGTAAATTTTGAGCCCATTATTCACTGAGAACAGAGCTTTTTCATCATTCTGTCCTGTTTCTATGTGGGAGTTTTGATTGCAATGAAAGAGAATAAGGGTTGCACACCCAAGTATGGAGCTTTCTGACAGAGCCACTGTGTTGGATCAAAATCTCTGTGTGTGTGGAGCAGTGACAATGATCAATGTGACAGAGCTGTGACAGATCAATGGTTTGTAAGATCTTTATCCATTTAAAGCAAGCCCTGCAGGCACAGGGATATGTCTCTCCAGCATGATGTTCGTTGGTGCTCCTCTGAAAGAAACATATAAAAATAAAATTCTCTAAAATGCAGGTTAGCCGATGGGAAGAGAGAAAGAGGGATGTGGAACCGAGGGGGTGGGAGGTTTGCCTCTGGAGGAAGGAGAGGCAGCCACTGCTTTGTGACAGGACAGGAGAAGCCCGCTGGTGCCCTCTGGTGTGATGCACACGCAGGGGAGGATCAGGAGGAAACCACTTTCTGCTTTGTTTTATTTCCATAGAAACTCTGGGCATGAACAGGCTGTTAAAACATCCGATGTGCTCCCTCTGCCGGGTCACACAGGGAGAAGAGGGGCCTGACAGAGCTGGTTTGTGTAGTGGGAGCCTGGACACAGAGCTGGGGCCTGGCTGGGCTCAGACCTCTGCCTGCAGTGCAAGAAAAGCTGACAAAGTACTTGTAAAACGTGGAGAGGGAGAAAGAGAAACCTTCCTGGAAAAAAAACCCTAGGGTACAGATGTGCCAATGGTGAAAAAAACAATCAAACTGGTTTTTTTGCTGGGACTGAAAGAAATTACCAGCAAAACTTTATTTGGAGGGCATGAAAAGAAGGTGTCTGTGGAAATGACATTTCAGACATTACAGGCCAAATCTGAAATTTCAAGCAAAAAAATGTCATGGGCTGTGCCTAAGTAGAAGCAGAGAGCACTAGAGGCTGTCACTTCATACCTAATCTCTTTGGGCTAGGAACTGGAATTTGTGTGTGCAGCATCTGTTAACATTTTTCTGTAAAGGTTTCTGGGGTCCTCCTGTAACAGTGGTGTCAAGAACTATTTTCTGGATTAAGAGGTGTCACAGAAAGAGATGACCTTAACTCTGGATTTGTTTTAAACTTTGATAACAAACTTACCCTTTCTTGGGTTTTAAAACTTGAATAGAATGAAACCAAAGAAATTTCAGTGTTTACCACTGACAGAGTGAGCTTCAGCACCCTGATAGTGTCAGGGCCTTTCATTCAATAGGCAGGAATTTTCCTAACAGAAATCTTGTCAGAGGGTTCCACAGATCTGGGCTGTTTCTTTTTCAGCTGTGCTTTTGTTTGCTATACTATTCAGCCTTATGATGTAATTACCATGATCTAGTGCTGCAAACCTGGTTTTCCCTTTCAGAAGCTGGAACTGTGACTTATAAACATCAAATATGTGAGAGAAAATAGGATTATTTGCCCAGGAGTGTCTTTCTGCCTCACTGATGGTGGGAGTTTGTCTGGGTATTGAATCTGCTCCATTCCCCTTGGTTAGAGCTGGTCTGAAGTGGATAGAAAAACCTTAAATGAAAGTTGGTGCTGAAATTGGTGAAAATAGATTTGGGTTCAGAAAATTCCATGTGCTCTAACTTGCATCTTTTTTTGTTGTTGTTTTTTAGTTCTCCACCTATTTTCCTGGTTACTTTGATGGCCAGTATTGGCTGTGGTGGGTCTTCCTTGTACTAGGTGAGTGTTTGGGAGTGGAGAGGCAATGCATGATTAAAAGCTCTGTAAAGTGCAGTTTGGGCCTTTGTGAGCATGGTTCTACTGGCTATTAAAATAAGTGCATGTAGAGGTAGAGCTGAAATGTAACCCTGCCAGTTCTCCTCCTCATCCTGAATGCCTTCTAGGTTTTAAAGGCACATAGACACTGTCCTGCTGCTGTCATTTCTTGCTGGCAGTGCCCTATTTATCATGCAGAAGGAGTAAAGAGGAGAACAGTGCTTGTCATTGTCATAACTTAACTTGTATTGTCTTATATCATAAATGGAAGAATGGGTTCTGCTCTGTCTCTTTTCCTTTTCCTCCTTTAGAAGTGACTGGATCTCATTTGAAGCCCAAAATCTGGTGATTGCCCAAGTAAAGTTTGGTTTTGAGATTGTCTGAAGTGGAAAGATTGTCACTGAGACAAAAAATAATGGTTGTATATGATCAGCTGTAGTGCATCCCAGTGACTCTGGTCCCTTGGCATAGTGACAGTGAGTTGAACTGTGGATTGAAGCATTAACTGGACAAATGTCTTTCTTCCATCCAGGTTTTCTGCTGTTTCTCAGAGGATTTATTAACTACGCAAAGGTTAGGAAGATGCCAGACACTTTTTCCACTCTCCCCAGAACCAGAGTTCTCTTTATTTACTAAAGGTAAACTTTCTGCTTTCCCCAATTTCTTCTGGTTTGGTTTTAGCTCCATTTGGTGACTCTTTGGGACTAGATTTCTCTTTGCTTGAATATTTTTAGAACACAAGGCAGCAGAAAACAGCTGCCTCTTGGTATCCCTTACGCAGCTCCTGTTTCTGCAGAGTCCAGGCTGACTTGGTGGGGAGCAGAGGAATACTTGACATATTTACTTGACATTTCCCCCTGAGTTTTTCCTTTGAGGAATTCATTAGATTCCCCATGACTTGAATTGTAAGAACAAAATCCCTGCCCCTTGGTAGGGTGCTGTATTGAGCAAATCAAGTGCAAGGCACGTGGCCTAGTGTCCTAAACATGAGTAAAGGTCACAAAATGTTAGAAAATGGTGCCAGTGTCCTTGGCTTATGTCCTGGGAAGAGCAATTTGTCTGAATTTTGCCTGGTGTTTGATTTTTCTGCCAAGTTCCTGAAGAAATTAAACTCTTGTGCACCTTTGCTCTGTGAAAGCCCCTCCCATGTGCTGGGACTACTGTCCTGCCTGAACATCCTTCAGAATCCTTCATGCCTGGAAGTCTTTGGCTTTAAGGCTGGGCCTTAATTGTTGCTGCCTTAATGGGACTTTAAAGAAGGAAGCTTAAGTAGCTGAACCCTCCTAGCATAATTTCCTGCTTGCAGCAGATAATGGCCTTGCATTAACTGTCCCTCCCCGAGGGGAAGGAAATCCTGTAATAGGTTGTTCCCAGATGGCCAGTGCAACATGATGCTCCCTTTACAAATATCATCATAACAGGAGATTTCCCCAGGACCAGGGTGAAGCAGTTGCAGCTGGGACAGCGACAGAGAGAAACCAAACAAACCCCAGCTTGAAACTGAGGGTCGTGAAGCTGTTCAGATTTAAAAACAGGCTGGATTTTTCCAAACACCCTTTCCTTGTGTTAGAGACTGCAGGTTGTGTGGGGGTCTGCTTCAGTCCTGGGCTGGGCCGAGGACCTGCTGCACAAAACAGGCATTGTGCAGCCCTTCCCAGCTTGAGCTTTCCACCCGTGACAGCGTGTAAAAATAGTCCAGTCCAGCTATTTAAGTGTTTCAGTTCTGTTTAACTGAAGTTATGGTTTATGACCTCCTCCAGGATTTGTAATATCCTCTCA